TTCTAGATATATAGTGATGGAAAAAATACTTAAAATGAAATATACTAAACTAAAAATATTTTAAATTTCGTTACCACTAGAAAATATTTTTTTAATAAAGCGGAGCAAGTTGGCATCTTTGAGTATACCTATTTCTACGGATATACGTCAATTTGACGCGATCATAATTTAGACAAAAGTTTAAGTAAACAAGCAATTATCACATCAATAATAAATAGGAATGTACCGACAATACTTCGATTCGTTATCTCAAATAAAACAAGTGATAAATAACTGTTGCCGATAAGCAATAATAGAAAGAACAAACGCAGAATGTCAATTGATGTCAGATTTTGAAGGTTTCAGTTGCTTAGTTCGAGTATTGAAACATAAAATACAAGAATATTTCATAAATATATATCTCATATCTTCCTTTTTTCTCTTATAGTATACATATACATTGTTTTCTAAGTGCAGAGATGCCAACTGCTCCGGACACGCGAAAATAATTTTAAAAAATGGCAAATAACAACAAATAAATTTTGGAATACCTATATAAAATAAAGATCTGAGTACCAGCCACAATTATAACGTGCGGCTTCAACTCATCCATCTGTGTGAGAGTTTTTGGTGATTCGGAGCGAAGCTCCGAGAGATGTTAGGGGTAGTTGATGTAGTGGGCTTTCAGCTCGTCGTTCACTGGTTGAGGTAAAACATCAGAGAACAGGGTTCTTTCCCTGTAGGATAGAGTTTAGAAGCAAAATCGCCTCTTCATTTTTGAGTAGCTCCTGCAGCTCCTTAATGATGGTCCTAGTGTTTTGATTTTATTGGGCACCCTATCCATACCTGCCAACTTTTAATCCCTTCCATTATCATTTTCCCCAGTGGTATTAAAATGAAATTAAAACTTCACCTTGAATTAATTAATTAAACCTTGGGATAAAAGCCGAGGAGATCTAATTTCTTTCTCACCCGCTCTTTAATGGCTTCGTGATCAATGGCTGGTTCGCGAGAGGGTCGGTAAGCCTTCCATCCGCGTCCGAATCGTTGGGTAGACATGGTGGCTCCGAGCTCAGTTACAAAATAACTTCACTCGGTGAAATCCAATGAACGAATGGTGGTGCTATCGTAAGGACTAATATGCTTTTATATATTTGTTGGAATCATTTATATGTAGGGGTGGTCAAACTCATTTATAATTATTATTATAATTCAAAAAGTTTAGCGGAATAACATGAATTTCGTTACCACTTTAAATATGGAAATAAAATCTTCCGGGAAAACCGGAAGAGTTGGCAGCTATGCATCTCTGAGCATGATCCGAAGACATGCCATCACAATTTTGATCCTCTGCAGGGGGGATGGCACTTCCGCTTCTGTAGTCCAACGACCCGCACGCGAAGTCGATCACTTTGCGGTAGAACAGTTTAACGAGGATTAATACCGCACAGCCTCATTTCCTACGCAAACTGACCGCAGCCAGTGATGCTCGACTTTGGTGATCTGCTGGGAACCGTGTCTTAACGATCAGTCCACTGCGGGACGAGGTGATCAAGAAAATTAAATTTAATTGATCATTAATGATCAATTTTTGAAAAAATCACGAATATATTTTAAAGTATAATTTTTTTCGTATGTTTTGAATTTTTTGTGCCATTCTACATTTTAAAATGCTATTTTTGCGATAAGAAATTTATTTTTCTTGATTTCTAATATTTATTTCTTATTTCTCCATCTTATTTATATCCAACGTCTCGAAAAAAATGGTCCCTTTTTTTTAAAGCAGAAAAAAAGAAAAAAAATAGAAATGTTGTTCGAATGTACTTTACGAAATCAAGTTAGTTATGTTTACTACAATATATTATTAATAAAAATAATTTTACTTTTAAACTGTGGCAACAGTTTTGCCATGAAAAATTTTCCTAAACATTTGTTGCTAAGAGAAAAATTGTTTGCATAGAGGTAAAAGTATTTCCATTATTTTAATCAATCCCTGTATATCTAGTCTAGCCCTGTGTCATTTTACAAATATAACAAGCAAAATAAAAAATGCCACTTTTTTTTGTCCAAACATTTATATTATTTATAATGCAAAATCTACTCAATTGACCTAAAGGTAATTCTCAGCCCGGGAGTATTAGATATAAACCTAATTGTTCTCACCGCTAGTTTCATGTCAATTGAATCACTATTTTATATTAGTTTTAATATATTGTTCAACTATTCATATCTATTAAGTTTACATTTATATCTATTAATACACTCCAAATAAACCATGATTTGAGCTGCTCATGCAGCAAGCTATTTTCAGCCGCCAACTGTCTTAACTTCTTTCTCTTATCCATGTCAAAAGTTCCAGTTGCCCTAGAGCGTAATTCAGATTAAGAGGTCTGGTGCCCACTAACGCGGGCAGGTACCTTATCAAACACAGATCGTCGTCGTCATTTGACCTCACCAGTCTTCTGCTTGGGTTGGCTCCATCGTTCACGGAATTACTGCCGCTCATTCTGATTCAATTCACTAATACAACTACTAACAATGCTAATCACTAACTGCTTATTTGTTAATAATTATAAATAAAAAATATAAATCATAATAAATAAATAATCTAAAATATATATATTTTCTTAGACCAATGACTTCATTTGTTTATGTTATTACCTCTCTGTGTCATCCCTGTTTAGATATGTCCTTTCTATTTTCCTTTTCCACAATATTATTTAACTGCCTAACATTAAGTTTACTAACCCAAATAATTTTAACATCAATGGCCTTTGATTCAGTTTGTAATCATATCATTTACGGAAGTGGCCTTTTTGTCCAGGTACTCCGGTGCCCCGATTACTAGTTTCCGCAACCTCACCGGTCTTCACCACAATACTAGACTCTGTCAAGAAAAAACTTTCTAGAACAGAGGTCAAAATCTATAAAGGAATGCTCGGGGCTCCCAAAGCTATAACAATACTATTAAAAGAGATTATCTATTAGTATATGATCAATCTCAACATTGAATTTCTTCAATGATGCTAAGAATAATTCGGCAGACAAATTTAATTCTATTTTCAATGTCGGCATATCAACTTAGCCCTGCCACTTCTATATAGCATCAAAACTAATGCAAAATAATATTACGATGAATGCTGGATAATATTAGTTTGCATAGAATCTAATATTAGATAATGCAGAGCAAANGGGGGGAGAACACTATTTATGTGTTCACTTACCCATTGTCATTAAGCAGTATTGAGGACAAGTGAATTTCAAAATGATCATGACTATCTGAGGAAAGAAAAATCTAGAAAATTGTCTTCTATAGTAAAAAAAAAATATTAGAGGGAAAAAAATATAGGCCAATTTTGAAAAATATAGGAAATAAAGGGAAAATAGGAGGCTTTCTTAGCTTTTTATAAAAATATAGGAAAAATAGGAAATATAGGAGGACTTCTACCCCTGGGGCTGCGTTGCAAGACCTAGGAAAGCGCCGAAAGCTCGTCCCGTGAAAGCTACCGACAATGCCACCAGATTTTTGCAGCTCTTCAAGGAGATGAAAGAACTTTTAAAGGACGAGGAGCTTATTAAGCTACTTCGCTCCTTACTTCCAGAGTCTCAAAACTGATAGCGGACTCTCAATCTCCCAGGATTTACTCTATCCTGACGTTACAGCTCACCGCTGTGAATCACTTTTTACTTTATTTCTTATAGGAACATATGACTTACAGTTATACGTCCTACCAGAATCGATGAATCAGTTGGTTGGCCCTTCGGAACAAATACTGAGATTTTCCCATATCCAGCAGCAGTAATCCGCACAAGCTTGCGTAAAATACAGCGTTTGTGTCTGCTTAAAATTGCAATTCAATTTCCATATTACTACCACTGAAGAAAATCATCCTCGAATGGATAGAAAGTTGGCAGATATGGCATTTGCTCGTAGTACTCATATTTTTTGACAAAACCCAACGAACTGAACCAAAATATGCTCCTTTCCAATCTAGCAATCAAAATATGCATCAATTCTCAAAATCAAAGACGATTTCATCTAGGTGAGCGTTACTTCACAGCTGTGCTCTGTCTATTCACTGATGCTCTGCAATGAAATATTACGTGATATACAAGGAGATTGACTTAGTTAAAAAAAAAATGGGGCGTGGTTTAAGAGTGCGCAAAACCTGGATTTTTTAAAATTAACTTAAGAAGGTAATGTTGGGTAAGTAAATGTTGCTGATTGATAACTTCTCTTCTGAGATGTCTGGAAAATGTTCCAATAAAATCATAAAATTATCAGCATCAAATTTCTAATTATTTAGTTAAATCTAGTAACGTTTCCCATTATTAAAAAGAGATTTTCAAGTTTTGTTGCGAAAATTTTACGAAGATAAACTTTAAGTAGATTTTTTTTTTCATTTATAAGTTAGGAACTTTAGTTTTACTTCAAAAAATTCTTACTTTTTCTAGCTTTAGACAGAATTTTCTGAGTTGCATAAAAAGACAATTAAAAAATTTATCAAGATTGTCGTCACTACCACCATAGCTTGTCCACACTAGCCTTATGTAGTAGGGCTAATGTAGACAAAAATAAATAAATAAACCTTATTTTTCTTTAAAAAAATTCTTACTTTTTCTAGCTTTAGACAGAATTTTCTGAATTGCATAAAAAGACAATTAAAAAATTTATCAAGATTGTCGTCACTACCATCATAGCTTGTCCACACAAGCCTTATGTAGTAGGGCTAATGTAGACAAAAATAAAAAAATAAACCTTTTCTTCTCAAAAAAAAAAAAAAATATGGAGAAACTAAGCCGCTTTTTTAAATTTAGATATAAACAAGATTGCAGCGAGACTTCTAAATTATTTCTTTAAAAAATTCTTCCCAGTTTAAGATTATATTTTTATAAAAAAACGTCCACACTAGCCCCTTTCTCCTTTACATCATTCATATTTTAAATTAAATTTCTTAAGTTAATTTTTTTTATTGAATACATTACAGCAAGGAAATAATACCTAAAATAAAAATCAATCATTCATAAAAACAAAGAAATTTATTTAATATAAACTATAGATTAGGAATTTAATATTCCATATTGTGTAAGCCTTCTTTTTTCATTCTTCTAATGGATGTACCGATTCTTTTTTCTCTGAGTCGTTCAGCTGCAGCTTTTTCCTGCCTAAAATGACACAATTTTGTTACTTTAGTTTGATAAACTTAAAACCAGTTTTGCCAGAGAATGTCGACTTTCACCGGTGAATGTCAACAATCACGTAGTCGCTTTGGTGAACGACCAAAATATTTATTATATCTGATTTGATATTAATTTATTCGCTGATATAATTATTCAATATTTTAATATCTGCTGAAGATAGATTATGAGAAAATTAATTAGTGTCCGGAGTACCAGTTAAATACATACCAGGCAATGGCACTTGACCTTAAAAAAACATCAGTTTGGGGCAGTGTTTCCCAAACTTATGACTTTTGTGTACCCTTTCTAAATTTTTCCTAACACTGTGTACCAATTAAAAGTTAAAAATCACAACTAGCTGTTGACACTACTAATTATAACTGTTAACTCTGCAAAAAATAGCCAAAAGAAAAATACGTAATCGTAAATTTTCATGACTAGCTTCGATTTTAAATAAATTTTTTTGAAATTTTCATTTGTGGCAAGATATTTTGCATAAGAACCCTGTCTGAACTGTCTCCGTACCCCTGGCGATACACGTACCACACTTTGGGAAACACTGGTGTAGGGTCTACTGGGCAGTGGCACTTAACTAGACCTAATATACATTTCAGACATTTACCAAAGTATGTGATTGTCAATATTCACTGGTGAAAGTCAACAACCACCCATTTCTGTCATTCACAGTAACATATTTTTGTCGTGTAAAATAAAATAAAAACTATGGAAAATTCGAAATTTCAATAAAATATAATATTATTAGGTGGTATATTTCTTTCATATTATCAATAGAACTGCTAAATATTTTATATTGCAGAGTAACAAGGTGCGGGGAGGTTTGCAGGCAAAAACCATTTACAGACAAAAGCAGACTTAGTTGGCAAATAATTGCATTTAAATTTCATTCAAAATTAACTGGTCCAATAATGGAATTTAGTTAGACAAGATGGAGCCCTTGAAATTCTTGAATTGGATACAAGAATCCAAAGCATTGCACCCAAATTCTTTCTTGGTCACTTTTAAAACATCTGAAGCAATGCTGAAAGTAAGTTGAAAAAGAAGGGGGGGAGCCAAAACATTTACATTTATAGCTGGTTTTTGTGAAGAGCAAAATAAGATCTTATAATTTTTAATTATAAATTATTCGTCACTACTTTATCTTGGAAGGAAAAAAAACATCCCAATATAGGTGTTTTAAATGTTAAAAGAATCTTGGTTGCAAGTTTTACGTAAAATCTACAATGAACTATTTGCCATGCATCCAATTTGTCTTCATGCCATTGCTTGATTTTAATTCTGCAACCTGAGCAGGGTTTCTAAAATTAAATTCCATACATAAAGTTAATACAATTTTAAATTTAAAAATAATTCGTCATGACATTGTGTGAATGGATGGTCAATTATATAAAGCGAAACATAGGTGGATAGCTTCCCAAGTCACTATTTCAAATTAACCTTTATGTAATAAAAAAAATAAAAAATTTAGATTTTATGCTATTTGTAGTGTATCTACCACTACAAAAATACAATTCCAATTCCTTAGTTCCTTAGTATATAACACATGTTAACTCGATTCCAAGGATGAAAGTTGACATGGTTGATAACTATTCACTTCCCACATTGGTAACCTTCGGAGGTAGTGTGAACATGCTTACCTTGACAGAAACTCCCACTTTTAAGTGAACACACCTATCTTACCACTAGCGCCCACTGTAATTTGAACAGCTCTACTTCGATGGATGGTCCACATTCAACAATTGATTTGCTACCAGTGACTGTGACATTGTCCTCTTTATGCTGTTACTTCTCAGTCTGGATCACACACAACTTATACACTCGACTGCTTCAAGTCAACACAGGCTTGACCAGAACCGTGAACTTAATAGAACTCTCACGACCAGCACTCAAAAAGTACGGTGATCTTAATACAGCTCACCCGACTTTTGACAAAACAGCAATGAATCAACTAGTGATAAAAGTTCATCAAATTCTATCACAGATATAATTCTAATAGGAGAGTACTGTAGTGTATCTACCACTACTGTTCCGTATTTGTAAGTAACGCTCTTGGCGTTGGAGCATCTCCCCTTGGCACACTGTAAATACGCCAACTTGGCAAACAGTCTATGTTTTGTACGCCATTACAGTCTACGCTCTACACCCGAAAGGGTAAACACAAATAAACTCCTTTAAATACTAAACGCTTACTTTTCAATTTACGCTACCTCCGCACAACTACAAAAATACTATTCAAATTCCCAAGTATATAAAACATGTTAACTCGATTCTATGACGGGGTACCTTTTCATAAATGAAGGTTGACATGGTCGATAACTACTCACTTCCCACACTATTGTTAAAATTTTCAAAAGTTGTATTTCTTTATGATGGTGTTATTCCTTTCAAGTCTATTGTTTTTCTTATTTTTTAAAATTTAGAATGATTTCGAGTAGAAATAAATAATAATTTCGTAAAAATGCTGGAAAAAATAAATAGGCAAATTAAATAATGACACTCCAAAGATAGCAACTCATTCTTGTCATTCGTTGATTGCTTCCATTACTTTTAATTCGATTTAAAGTTCGAAATCTGATTGTATACATAAAATTTGGAAAAAATTTTGTGAATTGGATCAAAACTTACATCTTAATACTAAAACTTTCTACTAGGATCTTTGCATCGTCACTTAAGGAAAACATCCCCAAAGGGATAAGCCAGAAATTTTCTAAGATTCATTCTGATTTTAAGAAGCTTGTTATTGTTTAGTCTTGACCAACCATCCAACAATACATCTTCTGACAACTTTTTACAATAGTTATTCATATTTATTTTTAAATTAGTTGAAAAAAAAATACCGTGCAGATGGGGGGAAAAAAGTCACCAAACTGAATAAGTTGATCTAATTTCTGAATTCTCATGTACTAGCACTAAATCCTTAAAACGTTATTCAAGGATCTAACTTGGATCTATGTGGTATGCTAATGAATTACTGCTGACGAAATAAATTATTATCCCACAATCAAAAACAAATTTTCTTTTAATATAATATTTTGATAGTTCCAAATTATGCTTAACATGCAAAAGTCTATTAACGGTAACACTTTTGGTTTGAGAAAATAGCTCTTTCAGTCACTAAGACGCATTAAACTTCTAAGACTGAATTATTAAATTTAAGACTGTTTATCGTAGGCTTTGTAGTTTTACGAATTAAAACTTTATAGTTATTAACAGAGATGCCAACTGCGCCAGATACGACAAAATACTTTAAAAAAACAGTAAAGAAACTAAATATGCACATATTCGGTTAATTTTTCGTACCTTTAAAAGATTTTGCAAGGCTTAACTGTGACAAAGAGGCGTACCACTTAAGCTTTTAAATCATTTAGAAGTAGTGGTGATTAAAAACCCTATAAATCGAATTTACTAAACCAAGAATCAATTTACATCATATACATAATACATAAAAATTTACATCATCTATATACTATTATAAGGCAGTTTTTCTTTCATTTCTTTGTTTAAATCCTAATAATAAAACATTTGTTCCACAAGTTTTGCTTTTTCTAAAAAAGAACTGTTTTTTTCCTCTTAAAAAAAAAAAAAAAGGAGATGAGGCACAAACTGGACAATATGTTATATTTATAACTGTAAAGACTTAATAACAGCAATTCATTTGTGTCAGATTGTTTTAGCTATTCTTTAGCCAGCATACTCAATGATAATTACAAGACTGGTGCAAAGTATCAATAGGAAAAAAAGCTTAAGTTTTGCAGAAATGAAAGGCATATATGATCTAACTTTATCATACAAAAAAATTTTGCATGATATTAGAAGGCTGAATTATTATTACTTTTTTTTTTTACAAAACTAGCTACAAATTGGGAATTAATTATTGATTTAAGTCTGTGTTTTTTAAGGCTCTTTCTTTATAGGAAAAAAAAAATTTTTTTTAGCCAATAATGAGGTATTTTTACAATTTCAGTGAGTTTGCAAATGTTTCAAAACAGTTAGAGTATATTCTGCCCATCTCCAGTTCGTACTTTCTACGCTGATAATGAGAATTGTGCAAAAGGTCAAAATAAAGAGAAGGAATACAGGTTTTCTTTCTTTTAGAAGTGTTTGTCACATAATTTTTTAATATCTGAAAAGCTACTTGAGCAGTGCACTGTTTGGAAATGGAATAGTATGAATAAGTTGAAAATTACTCATTGATTCGTATGATTTTTCCCAAAGAGGAAAAATATAGCAAAATTATTACTTAAAAAAAAAAAAAAAATTATTGTTAAATATATTTTAGCTTCAAGACCAGGCAATTCTTTTTAGTAATCATTATTGAAGCTTTGCATTTAGAGTATTGTTATTCACTTATAAATGGGAAAAAGTATGGATGGAAAAACATTTTTCATCTCCATCTTTACACTTGTTACTTAATGACAAAATAATAATAATAATAATAATAATAATAATTACAGGTTGTTAATAAATTATTTAATAAGGATAGAATAAGAAAGAAAGAATAGAAACATAGAGAAAGAATTATTGAACTTGTATGAACTATTTAAATAAGAATTAAACAATAAGTTTTATTTGATTAAAATTTACTTGGCAGAAGAGCATCAAAAACTTAAAGGATATTAATCTAGATTAAAAAATTATGCCAAATTATGAGTTTAATAAATATTTAAAATATTTAAACTAATTCATAATTTTGAAAATGGTTTGTCTAATAAATAATTTCCTAAAGAGTTTAGACAGAAAAACATCCTTTATCTCAATCTCTAAGGTTGTTGCTTCGCAGAAAGAAAAAAAATGTTTTTCTGCATGTAAGTACAATATAAATATTATTACAGCCTAAAAGAACATCTCAATTGAATTAAAGAATAAAATTATTAAATTTAAAATTAATTTAAATAAAAATGGAACAATAAGATTTATTCAAAAGACATTTAGCCAGATTTATAAAGGGCTAATGCCTTTTAATATTCCATGTGTAATACATCAAAGTGTAATTTTACAACAGCATTAAGAACAAAATAATAAGCATTTAAAGTGCATATCTGCGGGAAGCTTGTTATTGACAATGTCAACTGTCATAAATCAAGAGGTGATTTCACAGCGAGTCAAGTTAATATTTTTTTAAATAAAAGAATTTGAGTTTAATAATTGTACTGGTAAACACACTACACATCAACAACACTAAGTATTGAAGCAAATAATAAAAACCAAATCAACTTATATCTTTAACTTTAGTTACCTTTTCTTTTGTAATGCTAAAGTTTCCGGTAACACTTCTGGGGGAGGTTTTTCAGCTTCTCTAATATAACATCTTAATTTATCCATACAATCTGCTAAATTTAAAGTCTGCATACGAGTTTTATCTGATTTCAACACCATGAAGCCATCTTTAGTTATATTATTATGATGCTGTAAAAAAAAAAACACCTATTATTAGTTATTTTAATTCATTTGAGTATACTGTTATCAGTTTAAACTTAAGTTTCAATATATAATTAAGAGTTTTTCTGAAGATCAGCGATGAAAGTTTTGCTGGGAAAAAATTTGATCTCGTTTTTCAAATGCAAATAGCATTTTACAACACTTGCTTGCTTAAACCTAATGAGCTATGGATTTGACCAAGCAAAATTAACAGCCAATCTAATTTTCAAGAAATGTAAAAAAATGTTATAAAAACATGCATCTTCTAAAATAAATATATCCAGCAAATATTTACATTAAGTTAGCAACAAAATAAATAAATTAATAGCAGAGCAACTGTTGCAGACAAGATAGGAAGAAGAAATTATTTGCGATACTTTATATGTACAATTTCTTCTTTTTGGCACCACAGCCCAGAGCAGATCTAGGCTGTCACAATGAGCATTTTCCATGACATTCTATAAGATACTAGCGTTCACGTCGATAACTTTTAATGTTTTCTAACCCTTCTCAACATTATCAAGCCCTATCTGAATGGAATTTTGTGCCACCTGGGTGGTCACCTGCAGGGATAGCAGAACCAGGGGGAGGGGCAGAAGGAGCAAAATTCAGCAGCCTGCAGGTTTGTTATGATTTTACCCAACCTGAAAAAACCAGATGGAGTTTATGAAAAATCTCACCTGAATAAGTCATTAAAAAAACTCAAGCNCATTTGATTCCGTTTCATTAGGTTTATTATTATCAATTTTAGAGAGTAAAATATTAATCTTTACCTCTATTTCTTCGATTTCATCTTCTATATCTTGAGCAACATCTAGATTATCTTTCAGATCAATTTCTTCCGGAAGTAGCGTATATCCTTTTATCAGTTCTGATATCGATGCTTGTAGTTCCATTGCTACTTTCAGTTTCTTTTTGAGAATGATGGCAGCGGCGCTTGCATCCTGCTGCGTTGAATGTTCTTCCAAAAATTTTTGGATTTTGTTTATTTCTGTTTTAATTGCCTCACGTTGGCGATTAAGACTTGTTATTGAGTTAATTGTGCTCATATTGAGCTGGTTCTGCTCCAGGTCGCTAGGACCAAAGATGTCGGAGTGGACTGTAACGTTTGGTAATTTTTTATTGAATGAGAAAAGAAAGCTAGAAAGCTACGCTTGGCGCATTACAATCTCGCCAATGAGGGCGCGGACAGAATGTAAGAAGGACATTTTTTTTTCTTCAGGAAAATTATGTGATAAAAATAATTAAAGGTAAATTTTTACTGTGCAAACAAAAATCCTAATTGCATTTTCTTGAAATCAAGTATATGTACAAAATAACTTAAAAAGCATTTATTGTTTGGAAAGCTCAGTTTAGAAATACAGCATGAACATAATAAATTTTTTTAAAAAAACAAGTGTTTTAAATTTTCTTTTTGATTTAGAAAACTTATTTTTGAAGAAAACATATCCTAATATAGAACTTTTTGTTTTTTTCTTGCAGGTAAGTACAAGGCAATGTTTCAAATATTTTACATTTATATACTTTTTCACCAGCTTTTTATTTTGAACGAAAGCACAAATGTGAATTTTAATATCTAATAATATATTTAATATAGAATTTTAATATTGTGCCTTAATATAAATTATTCATAAGCTAAATAAAGGACTGCCACATTAATTTTTTTATGAAACCTGTGGAGTTTCTACAGTTTGAAAGTTTGATTGAGATTGGTTCGATGAGAAAAGAAAAGATATTTGCGTGATCAACTAGAACGTTGTTAAATTTTCTTTAAAGCCACTTTAATTGTAGAATTTAAAATTTAGTTGACAAAGGCTAACGAGAACTTGTTTTGCCTACCAATAGTAAAAATTACGCATGGTTAACACTCCTTGAAAAGAGGATTGTAATCTAGTTTTGAAATGAGCGTACGAAAGTAAACTCCTGATATTTTTATTTTATATGCTGAAGTATCATATGAATTGGTATAGGGTAAATCTTCTATATTCCACATGTTTTTCGAAGTAAAAACGAAATTATTTTATTTCCAAACGAGGCATCGGGTACAAAAGCGTATTGTTGAAGTTATTTACAGAAAAGCTTCCACTAGAATGCCCTCTCATAAAAGTCGTTATTTCAATTTAAGTTGAATACCCCATTATAAATATTTTTGAAAACCATTTGCTGGCTTATGCTGCTTGAGTGTTTTCCCAGGTTAGCCTTAAATTTTGTTTTATGCTGCATTTTAAATTGATAAGTTTATCTTGAATATTATTGGATTATTTTTTTGTCATACTGTTTTACTTGACTAAAACTAAAACTGTCAAACTATATTCGCTTTAACTCCACGCTTTAAAAAGTGAAGAATATTATTTTACAAGCAGGGAGTATTCAAGGAATACATTAAAAATACACCAAAACGATCAGTTATTTTTGCGGGGTAGAAAAAACATGTCACTTTGTTTATCCGTGTGTACAGTAATACATAACACATAAGTGTGAACAATAGAATCTTTGCGATAATAAACACAACCATCAAAAATCATGAAAACTGATATATGAATTATTGAATAACAACTCTTTTCCCTTATTAATCCTTTAATGGGCCCTTTATTTCTAGTAAAGGTAAATTAAAGTATTTTTGGAATTGAAATTGCTTCAAGAACAGTAATTGATATAAAAAAATTAAAAAAACTCATTTAGTTTATAAAAATGCCATTTTGCCATTTTTCTTGTTTTAATGTCTTAGTTGGAAAAAAATAAAGATTATTATAAAGTAAAACTGGCAACTACATTCGTGAATATTATATTTCAGCGGCTAGATCAGCTCTGCAAAATCCTGATTTCTTCGAAGGTGACATAGCTGGTATTGATGGACCCTTCGTAAGTATTATTATTGTGGAAAAATGAAATTTTTTAACAGCGAGAAAATAACTTCATTTATTAAATATACAATAAAGAAAACGAAGTAAAAAAATAAAAATATGACCACCGAAGCCAACGTCTTCAGGGGATACAGGGCTCGGAAGCCATAAAAGAAAACCTTTTCCATTGAGAGAAAGGACAAATGCCAAAATTAACTCTCTGAGTACCCCGGTTACTGGTTTGGTAGAAGTCCAGGAAAAAATACATGAAATAAATAAAACCAATTCAGAAAAGAAATTCGAACAAAATCTTGAGAAAATAAAAAATCACATTAAACAGGTCAAACAGCTATTTCACAAACAAACCAAATGAGAAGGAAATACTTAAAACAAAAGAAAACAAAGTCCTCTATTAAAATGCGTAGAATGAAAAAAAAGAGAAGTAAAAGAAAAGATTACGTAAGAAATTAATATAATGCTTAAGACTGTTTATCATAGGCTCTGTAGTTTTATGAATTAAAGCTTTATAGTCATTACAGAGATGCCAACTGCTCCGGATACGACAAAATAATTTAAGAAACGGTGAAGGAACTAAATTTGCACATTTTTGGTTAATTTTTCGAACCTTTAAAAGGCTTTGCACGGCTTAACTGTGACAAAGAGGCGTACCACTTAAATTTCAAAATCATTTAGAAGTAGTGGTGATTAAAAACTCTATAAATCGAATTTACTAAACCAAGAATCAAACATTGAAAGACTAGAAAATATTTATCTGCTGTCCGGAGCAAGATGGCATCTCTGTATTAACCCATTATTGTCCAGCTAAAGTACTAAATAAAATAAAAAATAGTAATAAATATTGGTTTTAAGAAGTGGATTTTTCTTTTTGTTACCTAATAAACATTGTGTTTTTACTCAGATCCAAACATAAAAATTTACATCATTTATATACTATTATAAGCCAGTTTTTCTTTCATTTCTTCGTTTAAATTCTAATAATAAAACATTTGTGCTACAAGTTTTGCTTTTTCTAAAAAAGAACTGTTTTTTTTTCTTTTAAAAAAAAGGAGATGAGGCACAAACTGGTCAATATGTTATATTTATGACTGCAAAGAGTTAATAACAGCAATTCATTTGTGTCAGATTGTTTTATCTATTTTTTAGCCAGCACACTCAATGATAATTACAAGAATGGTGCGAAGTGTCAATAGGAAAAAAAGCTTAAGTTTTGCAGAAATGAAAGGCAATTATGATCTAACTTTATCATACAAAAAATTTTGCATGATATTAGAAGGCTGAATTATTATTACTTTTTTTTCACAAAACTGGCCGCAAATTGGGAATTAATTATTGATTTAAGTCTGTGTTTTTTAAGGCTCTTTCTCTATAGGAAAATTTTTTTTTGTTTAGCCGGTAATGAGGTATTTTTATAATTTCAGTGAGTTTGCAAATGTTTCATAACAGTTAGAGTATATTCTGCCCATCTCCAGTCCGTACTTTTTACACTGATAATGAGAATTATGCAAAAAGTCAACATGAAGAGAAAGAATACAGGTTTTCTTTCTTTTAAAAGTGTTTGTCACATAATTTTTTAATATCAAAAAAGCTACTTGAGCAGTGCACTGTTTGGAAATGGAGTAGTATGAATAAGTTGAAAATTACGCACTGATTTGTATGATTTTTCCCAAAGAGCAAAATTATTACTTTTTTTTAAAAAGAAAATTTTTTTAATAATTGTTAAATATATTTCAGCTTCAAGACCAGGCAATTCTTCTTAGTAATCATTATTGAAGCTTTGCATTCAGAGTATTGTTATTCCCTTATATATGTGAAAAAATATGGATGGAAAAACATCCTTCATCTCCATCTACACTTGTTACTTTATGACAAAAAAAAATAATAATAATAATTACAGGTTAATAAATTATTTAATAAGGATAGAATAAGAAAGAATCAATAGAAACATAGAATAAGAACTATTGAACTTTTATGAACTATTTAAATAAGAATTAAACAATAAATTTTATTTGATAAAAATTTACTTCGCAGAAAAGCATCAAAAACTTAAAGGATATTAATCTAGATTCAAAAATGATGCCAAATTATGAGTTTAATAATTATTTAAACTAATTTATAATTTTGAAA